ATCATTCACTATGGTAAGATTTTTTGTTCTGATGATGCCTTATACCTGATCCCTTCGACACCTCATGATTGCATAGGCTGGTGTGCTTTGTTGCTTCTGAGCTTGATGGCCGCTTGATTACCTTCAAGCCTTTAAGACCCCAGATGCTATACTTTTTGATAGCTGGGCACCACAGGATGGCAATCTTTTACATCCTTTTTCTCTTTCCTTCCTGTTTATATTGTCAAATCCTCTGTGTGTGTTAACACACATAGTGCAAGAACTACACCCATTGGTCAGACTCTTGGCAACCCATCTTGGAAGGGCCTTTTTAGTTTTTTTCACATCTAACGCTGTCCCTCCGTGGCAGGTATGGGCAGGTTTTCTGATGGAAAGAAATGGCAGACGGGCTAATGAAGTCATTACATTTTGGCCTGCTAACAAGGTCAGCGGTTTGAAACCACTAAACACACAGGCTGTCTGCTCCTGCGGAGAGTTACAGTCTGGGAACCGCTCGGGGGAATTCTACCCTGCCCTACAGGGTCGGATTGGACTCAATGGCAGGGAGTTTGGTTCCGGTTCCCCCCATCAGGGCAGCCTTCGCGGTACTGGAGCGTTTGCGTCCATCTGTGCCTCTCTCCAGGCCTTACGCTGTGGGGACAGGCATGATGGTGGCTATTCTAGGAGGACGAGGGCCTCCTCTGGAGCCCTGACAAAGTCCTTTCCGGTGTCTGGTGCCCGCGGGGACCGAGTGGCCGCCGCTGACAGCAGCACCCCCGGGGGACTTGGCGGGGCTCAGATTTCCTGGACCGGATGGCGCGCGCTCCCGGAGCTCCGGGCTCTGCGCAGGATGCCCGGCCCGGCGGGCACATCCCCGCATCCGTCCAGCTGGGCCGCCGCGCAGCTGCAGCAGATCCGCTGGGGCCGCCGCCTCCACCCGGGCCGGGCAGCTGCGGGCATCTCCGGGCCGTCGGCGCTGGGCCTACTCTGCAGGGGCCGCGGGGCGGAGTCGCCCATCTGTCATCAGAGACAACCCACGTGGGCCGGCCGCGGGGAGGGGACAGGAGCCAGGGAGGGAGAAAAGGCGGAGGCGTCGCGGGTGGCCGGAGGGAGAGCGAGCGAAGCCACGAGAGCCGGCCGAGAGGGAGAGAGGAGCAGAAGACAGGTTAAAGGGGACCTGAGCCGCCCCAAAGCGGGACAGGTAAGGGACAGGTCAGCTGGGCAGGCAGGAGGAAAGAGTGGGCCCTAGAGCATGGGGACAGGAGGTGGCAGCGACGAAAGGGCAGAAGAGCGGGGACGCGGGAGTACGGAACATTAGGGGATGAATTTACGAGGAGCAGGGAGGAGGGAGGATCCCGGTGGCGCCGCGGTTAATGCGCTGGCCTGCGAACTCCAAAGTGCGTGCTTGCAACCCATCAGACACCAGCTGCACAGCGGGAGAAAGATGTGGCAGTTTATTCCGAAGAGATCACAGTGCTGAACACCCTATGAGACAGTTCTACTCTGTTCTACCGGGTCCATCCGAGTCGGCATCGACGACACGGGCAATGCGTTTGGTTTTGAAGGGCCAAGGCTCCGCGAGGAGGGGAGGGGGCGAGCCGGGCTGCTGCGCCTTTAAGGTTGCCAAAGCGACGGCTCTGGCCAGAGCGAGGCGCATTGACGTCAGCAGCCGAGCGCTGATTGGCTGCGGCCGGGTCGTTTCCGGTGGAACCGCCGCCGAGCCGCTATCGCTGAGTGGCGCTAGGCTGGGAGGGAAGCGCTGAGGGAGCTCGCCACGCCGCAGCCCCGTACCTGCAAACCCGTGCTCGCCGCCGCCCGAACCCCAGGTGAGTGCGGTCGGCCGGGGACCCCGGGGCGACGAGTGTCGCAGCTCCGTCGCCCCATTTGGAGCGCTGGACCGATCCAAGATGGCGTCTCGGGGAGCGACCTGCAGGGGACGGCCGCACCCCCTGCCCCTCCTCGGCCTCCTCTGGCGCCTCCTTGCAGGCCCCGCGTCCCGACCCGCGCCCCCAGTCGGGGGCCTGCAGACCCCAAGGCCTCCACCCCG